TTTTAACCAAAGTGGACCTAGGCCCGTTCGCGCGGAAAGCCTTCATGTGTACTTCAATAACTCACACTTTTCTCTTCCTTGTTGAAATCCTCACTTGTTCGGTCTTCTATTGTTGTTAACGCTACTACGCTGTGAATTAAGGTAAAACAAATTTAAGCCCAACGAAGGTAATTTGCTCGGCTCGGGTATTACTTCCTCGGGCACTTGCCTGCTTCTTTACTGTCGACAGCGTTGATATGCTTCTGTTCCTTATTATTTGAAGTCTAGGGACAGTTCTAACTTAGAGTAGCTGCTAGCCTTAGTCGTTTTTTACGCCCTTCAACAGCAGCGAAGTTGAGCTCGACAGAATTCACCGCTTGCACAATAACAGCATCTTGGCTACTGGTAGGATGTTATCTTGAAAAGTTTCGGTCGCGGAAGCATCATTTATATTAGCTAGCCATATGTTATTTCAGCAATACTATTTAAGCTTTGCTCGTAGGCAGCGTTCCTTGTCCGGTTAGCGCTCGGTATCTATATCTGTGCGAGTGCTTTTTGTCGGTTTTTTCGATGTTTCTGTTGTGAACATGCTATCGTTCGCTGTCAGCTGGATTCAGATGACTGTGCCGACGGTGACTTTTGCATGCTGCCATGAGCCAGAAGGCAGACCAAACCGTCGGGGAATCATGAACTCGACTAAGACTGCTAGAAGTGTGCCTGGCTTAGCGGTGATTTCGATAAATCTTTTTACTTTTTACTAGTATTTGTCCAACAATATAGGCGACTTCAATTTATCTTTCGGCTATCGTTAGTCGAGCGAACGTTTTTTTTTTTCTGTTTACCGTTCGAAGTGGCATAAAGGAGATACAAAAGTATCCGATACGGTGGCTTGCTTGTGCTTAACTTGCGCTCAATTTTTTGCGGTCAGAATTTTTTTTCGTTGTATTTCGTGTTTTTTTTTCGACAATAAATAGCCATGTTGTTCTTACATTTTTTGTTGGAATTGCGGCTGTTGCTGGTGCCGTTGTTGTGATTATCTACCTCAATGAACACACACGGAATGGATACTGTAAACTACCTTGTAAAAAAGAAGTATGAAGGCAATAAGATGATACAGTCATTTATATATGAAGATAAATGCGGTTGTTGCTTTTGTTGTTATTATCAGTTATTTTATTATCGCTGCCGACCACCACGTTATTGAAATTAAATAGCTAAAAAACAATTTTTTTTTTTAATATTATATAAAAACCACAGTGCCGGTTATATAAGTATATAGTTATACGTATAAGTGAATAGTTGTGCCTGAAATTTGTATATGTGCAGCATTCGTTAAAGACTCACTATCTATTGTTATATGGATATAATAAAACAATAAATAATCGATCTCCTATCGTCACAGGCCCTTGTTAGCAACTTCACAGGCGCCAGCCATATTGCTATACCCATATGCTCAGAGAGACGCTCACTTGCATGGTAAATCTCATCAATATCTAAAAAACGAGCGGTGAGAAATGTTACGAGCGCGTTGAACCACTTGTTAACACTGTTCTAATAGTCGTTACCATTACGGCTTACGGCGGCAAATCGCGATCGCCACCTACACGCAAAAACGAGAGTTGTTTGCGAGAGACGTCTCGTATCGTTTTCGGGAGTTAGTTCATTTTTTTTTTTCTCATTGGTGTTGGCGCTGTTATCAGTTTGAGTCTGGTTTTGCTGCCTAGTTCATTTTTTTTTTTCTCATTGGTGTTGGCGCTGTTATCAGTTTGAGTCTGGTTTTGCTGCCGCAGTTGTGTGCTCTCTCGGTGTCGCTGTTGTCGAGAGCCGTTCACGGGCGAGCGAGCGAGCGCCACCATCGTCGACGTAAGCGCGGACTCGGATATGACGAGCCGCTCAACATCATCGTGGATCGGACGAATAAACATATACCCAACTATTACACTAACGCTTTCAAAGCGATACTGGTAGTGCGTTCATTAAGGAGAATCGGCATCGACTCTCATTACGAATAGCCACCAATGCTGCTACCGCTACTGACCGACCGTTACCGCCGCTGTCTACGAAGATCATCGTCGTCGCCATTATCGAAACAACTGTCTGTGCCGTTAACATTCTCCTTGTAATCGCCTTTCACGCCGTGCGATTGTAGAAAATGGTCGCCATTCAGTAGCGCTTAACGGATCATATAATAGTTATTTCAAAATGAAACGCCCCACATTCTGTCTGATTAACCCCCAACCGACGGCAAAAATCAATGGGATGGAAATTTACTCCCATAATCTGACTGTCGGCCTATTCAAAGGGGTTTTGGCCAGTGTTTGCTGTCTTCCTGATAAGCTAAGGCAACTGTAACGGAAAAATGACTGACAGACACGAATGGGAAACTGGAGGAGGAAAGGAAGATATTTATTTGATTTGACTTCACTTGTCATCATTTTGTTTAATTGGACCAGTGTTACAGGAGCCCAGTTTAGTAACACATGGCATGCATTTTACAACGACGATGATTCAGCTATGCGCATGAGATTTGTATGCGTGCATGAACGTGTTTTTGCATTCTCTGAAGATGCGGGAAAATGATGGGACTCCTCTCCCAAGACGCGAAGCACCAGCGCCAGCAGCAGCAGCGAAGGCATAGCAAGCGGTTGGTATTTCTGTATAGAGCTAAAACTAATATATCCACTTTTCCGGATGTTTGACCCGCAGTACGAACCATCGCTACTTATATTGTCCTCCACCATTTGATCGCTTAGTTACCATAATCATGGCCATTTTGATGGTTGCAGCCATCTTTGTTCGCAGATCGTGATTAAGAAAGATCGCAGTCGCACTGGAACAAGGTTTCCGACGCCGTTTATGTAGGCTAATCAACAGGTATAGACGGACACGAACGTATCTTGTGACAGCTTAACCGGCCTGTTTGCTGCCCCCATCTTGACTGAGTTCTTTTTTACTCAATACACCGGTGGCGGCGGTGGCGGCGGCGGCGGCGGCGGCGGCGGCGGCTGCTGCAACGGTCATCCTAACGAAACTGGATCTTCTCCCTTTTTGCGTTTCACCCGCCTTTGTCTTAGCTTCGGGGCCGTTTCTCGTCTCTTGTTAATGGCATCATCGACTTCGACGCCGCCGCCAACTCGACCCTGGTCATCGGCTCCTCTACTTTCGTTAAATTCGTTAATTTTCTAAATTAAATAACGTACTTCGTAATGAGTATCATATTGCCTCGTGATGTTCGCTGTTCCTAGCGACGGCGGTTACCGTCGTTGTCTCGCCTCGCTGTTATACATTGACTTGTCATTTTTGTGCTCTTTGTGCCACTGTGTGCCTTTTTGATTAGTGACGTTTGTCAGGGCCTACTAACCATGCCTACCACCACGAATACAATAATCAAAGTATGTGCAGCGCCATCATCACGGTAAACCGCAGACTTCACTTACCACAATAGCTAGCAACTATTATAGAGAATGAATGGATTGCTGCCGCAATGGTGTTGGCGATCTGAGCATCGGCGAGTCGCTTGAGTTATTAAGGCCAAGCTCAGAGCAGACCAAGCGTGAGCTGTGTCGGTAGGCCGTTCGAAATAATTCCAACAACAACCTTTTAGGGCTTTTGTTGGTGCCATTTCTTTCTACCGTCCTAATGGTAGTCGTAGAGGGAGCGCGTGTGGATAAAAGCGCATTGCGCCATGGCGTATTTTAGATGGCTCAGAGACCTGAGGCACAAATGCAAGCACGTAGAACGAGACCAAGTGGGGTGACTTTGAAGAACCAGCACACGGCACAATTTTACGTATGAAATTAGCTTCGAAGAATTAAGCGATGTTATTGAGTCGCAAAAGAAGAAACCATTGTTTGTCGTTACAAATAAACTGCCACGAGACCCAGTGTGCTAACGATAATGAGACAGATAGCTGTATTCGCCGTAATGATAACAAGATACTAGTTACCGTAGCATATGTTCCTCGATGTATATATCTTCGGATTCAAATGGCTAAGCACCGTGACGTCGACGGAAATCTACGGTTACGCGTTAAGTATTGGTGGTCCGGAGTGGCACAAGACAAAGCAAGAACGGGCTTCGTTTTTCTATGCTATTTAGTTGTTTATACCTTCTTCAATGAAAAAAACACCAGTCAGTGCAGATTATCAAACCACTCAAACAGTAGCATATCTCCATTATTATGTAATGCGTTAGATATGAGCTAATCATCATGTGCCACCTACGAGCACCCCTTTATTGTACCGCTTGAAATACAAGATGAATACCAGAATGAAACGCTAGAAAATTAAATGCGTATGAGTTCGAGTCGACAAAGGTATCAACAAACGATTTGTCCAAAATAATAGTCAGAACCATCAGCTAGAGTGAACTTTTGTATCCAGAACGATAGCTGTACAAGCGACCTGACTGTGATAAAAATTCAATAATCTCCATTCGGCAATCATTATTTTTCCCTTGCCGGACGTACTCCGCAAAATGCGTGGACTTGATGAGCACGTTACAGGATAACTGCTTCGTCGTAAGTCTGTCGTTTCAGTATTCCCTGTATTCAGTGTTATTGATTTTTTTTTAGTCAATCATGATTCGTCCATCGATGCGGGCGTGTTTTTGCTTTTGTAATTTTATTGATTAACACCATTACATGACATAAAATGATCGCTGACTTTATAGTATCGTATGAGGTGTCCATAGAAGTGTCAAGAAGATTTTTGGGCATGTATGGACGCAGATAGTTAGGGATGATTTTTACCTGGGTGTGCTTTATGCAATCGGTTCTCAGATGACCCAGCCTTCCTTATCTTGTCCGTTTATTTAACGTGCGCGTAATTTTTTTGTTAATTTTCCCCATACGGCTTTGTAATGCGTGTGGAATACTCTACTTCAATTAGATCTTCATTTACACGGAGATCTCCTTTCACAAATTAGCCATATGTGGCCACACACACGTCACCTACATATCTGAAACCGTAGACTGCTGGAGTTGAATGCAGAGATTACGCAATTATCTACGAATGTTGCAGGATTTCCACAGCGATACACGGAGAGAACACTTGCACGAAACGAGAGGAGAAAAAGCAGACTGACAGCAAGTCCCGTAGCAAGGACCACACCGACATTCATCTGGAGTCGAATAAAGATACTGTGTATCATTTATAGAGCGGCCCACAAAGCAGAGCTGTCAGTTGACCGGAGTTAAAATGACGAGTGAACAAAATATTTCAACGGCTCTTCATTTTCCCACTGGGTCTGTCGGGTTCGTATTCAGCTCCCTCCGTTTATTTAATCTCTCCTTCTCAATGTTGGTCTCCCTTCGCCATCGTTTGCCAACTCTCAGAACACATAAATGCTATCATAACCATGATGATTATTACTGCTACAATTATTGAGATTTTTATGCTTTCTATGTTTTAGGCTGATTTTGTGTTTTCGGGTCTATACGCTACTACCGTTCATTTTGAGCTGGGCGTCTGTTGGTAGCTTCGCTATCACGAAGTCGTTTTAGGGGTACCATTGCCCTGACATGAGTTTTTGAGTAGTTTAGGACCGCTGGAGCGTCCGAGAGCCGCCAGCAACACTATCAACATCATCATTAACAAGAAGCGCGATGGTAAGGCAGCGACGATGCGAGACAGATTGATGGTAGACACTGCGAAGAAGCCGCAATATAAGCTATTTGAATGTTTACTCGCTTGGTTCGTTGACGTCCCACGTGTTTTTATGTATACGGCCATTCCGTCCTGTCGGCGACTTTTCCGCCGTATCTGTCCACAGAAAGGTGGTCTCGCCTAACTGGTACCGTGGTGCCTGGTATGCAATACCGTACAAACTTCAATCTTTATTTCGAAATCAATAAAAGGTAGAAATAGTGGCGCGAGCCTACGCATAGGCAGTACGCTAATATCATGGCGGCGTCCAGTTTTGCTGTGAACAATCTGAATCCGGTCTAACAACAATTCACAGAAACTGCAGTCCAATCCAGATCCGACAAATGACCAATTCCGTTGACAGCGAGGCGAAACAGCCAGCTTAAATTGTCCCTTTTGCCGCATATGAACGTCGCCGCTGGTTGCAAAATACAGGCGTCATTGATGCTTATGTTTATGTCTATCGTAAACTGTGTGTATATTCTTTTCCTGCGAAATAACAACAATAACGCAAGAGCCGGCCACAATTGACTAGGTAGAAGATAAAAGCAGTAAAAAAGCAGTTACACCCAACTGGAAACCGCTGTCGTCACCAACAATTTTAATCGTTCGTCTTTTTCTTGTGTCGATCCCATCTTCATGATGGGACGGGAGCAAGAAAATGTCCATACGACTTTTGGTTTTCTTTATGTCTACGCCGCTGTCTCTCAACTCCATGTCCTATTATTGGCCTGCCTGTTTAACCGCCCTCTGATCTGGTTCGTGGCTATCATCGAACTTCAACTCTGCCATATAATCATAGCTATACACAGAACGATTTTATGAGCGCACAAACTCTAAATGAGCTTCGTTGCTTCACCCATTTGGCCAATGGCAAAACGCTGACGTATGCCATACCATCGCCGCCGATGCAGATGAAAAGCACTTCAAATCAAACTCAGGTCGCAACACCCCTAATTGAAGGGCCCCAAGACGAAAACAAGGGACAAGACAGTGCCGGAGACACAATAAGCACTGCATTTAGTGGCTATTGCAGCAATTAGACGCTGGCGAGAATCCCACACTAGAGTAGCAACTACCTCGGAGTGTTCGCAAATAAGATTTATACCTTAAAAACATATCTTCAAAAAACTATTCCCTGTTTCTTCCAGCTACTAGAACCGCTACAAAGTCATCAAGACGAACATCAACTACAGCCCATAAAAAGTCGATCTTTATCGACCACTGTCGCTATTTTTATTGACGCTATTATAGTTTCAAGTAGTTATAGTATTGATGTGGTTGTTGTAAATTTAGGATACATGCAACCAGACAGATTCATGATATAGTATCGCATGAGAAATATCGCTCTCTACAGCGGCCATCCGACATCTAATGCTTCCCAATGTAAAAATTTCCTGATCCGTCAAAGATAGTGATAACAGCAATAACAATCAACTCTCACCAATGACCATGCCGAAACGTGCTCGCCTTCCAACCCCATTATCGTTCCCGAATCTTCACCGTCCATAGGCTTACGAGATCATACAGCACGTTCGGCTAATTCAATAACTGTGCTCTACCAGCAATGTCGGAATTTTCTTAATCAACCCAAACTAAGCTACCGACAGAACATCTGCCCTGGACAAACAGAGCATAGATAGTCTTGTTTACTGCTTTGGGACAAATGGACAAGGGAAGATGAGGACGCGCATGGAAAACGCAGCGTTCGCTTTCAATGAAATCATTGATAGAATCTACGCTCTACAACGGCAACCATCGTGTCATCGTGGGACACATTTTGTATTGCACTGTAAACGAGTACACGCTCGTAAACCGCGTTCCGCTAACGATTATCGCGAGTCAGGGGCATCCCTAAAAGAATTTGGGAGCCACTGCTTGGTACGTTGTACTAATGGCAGGCAGGCAGGCAAACTGAACGAATAGACGAAATAGACGTCACCGGCCGTTTTTCATGCCATCCATCATCTGTATGTCTGGCTATCTATATCCCCGATCGGGAGTTTACTTCACGTGTGCACAGATGCTGTTATCGTTGTTAAAGCGTGCCTGACCCACTCCGTGGTGTTTAGTTGTGACGGCAGATAATAGCAGTAGAAAACATAAAGGAAATATTAACTTCATTTATGGGTCACTTCTAACCTCCTTCGCAACAGCAGCAGCAGCAGCAGCAGCATCAGTAGTACTTCTGCCACAACAGAAAATAGCTGCAACTGTTATTAGTATCTGGGTCTGCGTTTTGATTAAATTAAATCCTATAGAAAAACGGCAGGAAAACAGGCAAGATACATATCAGATCGATCTGCCTCAATCTACCTGCATAATATTTGCCTATTGACTATTGTACCAGCGTGATTGCCCGTGTCTCCTTGGTGCGGAATTTAAAGTACCTAAATCAGATGTATCAATGTTAGCGAAAAGCTCCAATCTAAGGGAAAAACATTCGATACGATTCTGTATTGCAACCTTCAAAGAAGATCTTCGGTTGACCGTTTAAGGGGAATACATTGCCCTTCTTGTGTACAGAACTGGCCAGGTGTTCCGCACCAAATATGATTTCCCCCTGATATCAAGCTTACTACCAACTTCAACTTCCCCAGCGTAATCTTATTTAGGCAAAAAACAGCTTAACCATGGTGCTATTTATTGATATGACATAACTTATATTTCAGATATTACATTATTAGCTGTTTATGTACTTGTAGGAATGTTTTGTACGGTGATTTGGATCAAACAACTCGCTATACTGCCACCGTGGATCATCTGGCCAGTTTTTTTTCTGCTGGCTGTTGTACGACCGCACGACCGCTTGCGGTGGTCTGTATGTCATTCTGCAACGTGCACGACTACCTTAACGCTGTTACGTTCAGTTGGCTAAATCGAGCGTTTTTAACCGAATGGAAATTTTTAACCGATCACGATCACGAATGCAAAGGTTAGCAGTACCAGCGACAGATGCATGCTAGAGTGCGTGGCAGCTTTAAGACACAAAAATTATTTAAGCAATGAAGCACAGTATTTCCAGTCGACGAATTCACTGATTAATACTGTTATAATATCGTTATTATCTAGCACAGTAGCGTAGCGTTCGCAATTTGTCGGCTGTTGCCTAGGGGCAAGTTCCCTTTCGCGGTGACAAGAGTCGCTTTAACATATCGATTCGTTATGTCTGTCAATATCAGATATATTGATCAGCCATCTGACGCTTGACGCCAGTATCGGATGTAAAACTCAAACATTTAACTAGTTATATTGAACTGCGCTAAAAACCGCTGAAACGACCCCAGAAATTCAACGGAATCCATCCCAATGAACAACACGAAAACCATACATACGTTGCCATTATGGTAAAACCGTTTCCACCAAAAGACGCTATTATAAAGGTAAGAGATTTTTCAAGAAAAAACTGTTCTCAGTTCTAAAGGCAACAATCTGCACTCGTTTAGACCTTTAACATTACTAATAACATGTTTTTTGTGCAATGGCGAAACGAAAATGATAAGTAAAACTTTTGCGGTAGAAAAAAGCTGAATGAATAATAATACCAAAACAATAATTAGGCAAGCTTCGTTTTGTTTCATGGTAGCAATTATAATGATAGCAACCCTGAGTCGATAATGTTATAGCATATAACATGAGCATAACTCGACGTACTTCGATATATGGGATTTTTTTTAAAGAATAACTATTGTATAAACAACGAAGACTTGTGACCACATAAATCTTTGCGCGGTTTATTCGCTCGTCATCGGGAGTTGCCGCTACACACTCAAGTACCGGAGGCACAGAAACGTGGACGAAATGTTTTTATCTAGTAACACTACGCAGAGCCGCCTATCGTCAGCGTGAGGTTTTTCAGAACGCAAGACAATAGGGGATACCTATTAATTCAAAATAGTATGGCTGTAGTCTTCGCTGCAGCTATTCAAGTCGCATCGATGGTAGGATCTGTGAGCATCCAGCTAAGGTTTCGTTGCTTCTCCTACATACATGGTAATACCTCTCATATATATATTTTTTTTTCGAATCTTCGTCATAATTAAATGCTGCAAGGTGATCACGAATTCCATTGAAGTTAACTGGAACCGAAAATCTCGTTTACTGGCGTTCATTTGCCGACGACGGCCGCATCAACAGACTCACATTCATCTTAATGTGGCATCGTTTCTATACACCCGATACAAATCGAGCGAAGGTGCCGCTAATTCAGTGTATGCGTATGTGTGAGTATTCTTAAGTCAAGTTTTGATACCTGCAACTGCCAAAAGTATTCGTCTAATTCCGACATGGGGAGCGACCAGGTCGTACTGAACGAGAGAATTGAAAACATCGCACACACAGGCTCTGTTTACAAATGTTGCATCACGCATATATCTATAAACAGTATTTTTCTTTTGCGCTAATTTGACCCCCATCACCTTGTCTGTCTCTCAAAGCGGTTGTGAAGCGTCAAGAAACAGCGATATACTCGTAGAATTTGTAGTCCTATTGGTATTGCTAACGCTAATATTGTGTAATGCCAATGCGCTTGTTAGTATTCGACAATGTAAAGGTGCCAGTACTCAACAGAATTTACACATAGGGAAAAGATCGAGATGCCCTCTTTCTCGGTTCTCCTCTGCGGACTTGCACAAATAGGCTGCTGGAATTGAATTGGGCGCGCCCGACGCCCCCATACGACAAACACATAACAAACAATAAAGCCCTTATTCTTGCTTTCTATTCAGTCTGTTCTGTAGGCTGACAGCATTTTTGTTGTTTGCTGCTGTCATTATTACGAAATGAACAGACGAACATGTACGCTCGACACGCGAGTGAAATATAAGGGCAAACTTTTCGATGCCTTGGCAGTCTTGATTCTCGTTGTGACAGGCTAAGCGGGAAAGCCTGCCTCGAAGACGGGCTGTCAAGTGCCGGTATTGCGGCCACTGCTGTTGCTACTATCGTTCGAAGCGATCGGCCTCACACGGCTCATCAGTTCGTATTCAGTTTGTGAGGATACCACCTACAAACATTTCATTTCATAACAACGCGATCAACTGCAACTGCGGCCGCGAGTATGTTGTTCTACGCTCGCCTGATCATATTTTCAAATTGGTTTCCACGCGTCGGATCTGACCATTAGCATTACGCTAGTCAATATGGCGACGATCGTCTTTACAAATGCGGTTCGGCAAACGTATTTACAACAGCTATCATCGCAGTGGTTGTCCGCCAGCCCATGAAAATCCGCTGGTAGATAGGTCGGGTCGTGCAAGGATTTCCATATGATGAAGCGATAGGGACTAGTGAGAAGGTTCGTTTAGCTAGTTCCCACGCTCGTCTTTATTAACACACACACACACACACACACACTAAAATACCAATTGTGTAGATCGAGACCAGAAACAGGTGGGTGCTAATATGGCGCTGCTTTTACACTACAAAAACTTTCGAATTTCCAAGAATCCTCGATTCATAAGAAATTTCTCCATCCGTCCGTTACCGTAAGAATAAAAGACATCGCTGAATTTTCACTGTTACAATTCATATGGTCATGAAGATCGCTATCATCGTCAGTACGGTCGTCGTCGCAGTCGCCATTAAAATCATCCAAGTATACGAATTTTTGCATACTGCATATTATCAAATTGATTGGCCTATTTGTAGCGCAGGCCACTGCGACGGCGCTTGCGTTCGCACCTGCACCGACCAATGACGGCGTACGTAGCGAATCTCTGAATTGCTGACGTCCACGGCTGCTAACCTCTATCGCAGGAGACAAGCGACCAAGCTGCTACGAACGTCTACGAAATCGAAATTCTGCACCGTCTGTTTCGTGCATCAGTGGCGACAGCGGTCCCATTTAAACGCA